GACCTGGATTTGATAAACTTAACTTCTTACCCAGAGTAAATAATGCCAGAGCTGCCCAGGTGCACCTTTTGTTTGTGTGTGACTTTTGGCAGCAGCGCAACTTTCGCAACAGGGCTGGGGGAGGAGGAAAAGCACAAAGCAGCCTGAGCTCCACTCCAGGCTTTATGAGCTCAGCTGATGGGACAGATAACGTAAGGCTCAGGAGTTGCTCCCTCCAACACACCCAGATTCTGCTGGATGTTGTTAAAGAAGTTTAATGATGGTAGTGAGCTGCTAGCTTCTGTCACTGCTGAACACTTCCTGACAGAATCCAGTTCCAGGTTTTGCCCTCAGGCTAGACAAACAAAATGGTTTTATTGCCATTTTTTAAGCTGTCATCAGATTATTAGCGAGCTGTTAATTTTAACCAGTTCTTGAAAGACTCGCAGGTATGATTTGGACTTCATATGGCAGTGTGTTAGCAAACAGTAGGGCTACAGTCCAAATAAGAGTGCTTAATAAATCCAAATACACTTATGAACCAGGAATGTGTGTACACAAATGCTGTGTGGTCTTCCGCATGTTGCAGAGGATTTATATGGGAAACCAGCTTTAATGATTTAGCAAGCCAAGTGAACCTACATATCGTATTTCTTTTTTTCTTGGCCTGAAAAGCTTAAAATTGGGTAAAAATGACCAAATATTCAGCTTTTTTGTCCCTTAAAAGAAAAGTGCTATTAAAAGTGCATTCACGACATAGTATTCTGATGGCATTCTGTCATAAAGCTAGCATTTAATATATGTGTTGTATTCTGTAGCACAGCACTGCATCCCTCAGCCTCACTAGTTTGACAGAATTCATGATCTTATATCCTTTGTTTTCATCCATTAATGTTCTCTCACTAAAATACCCAGCCTGCATGACCAAATAGGTCATACAACCAGTGGGATTTCCCCTCACATTCCCCTCCAAACTATCATAGAGGGTAATAAATATAGACAGGATATTTCCCTCACTAGTAGTAACATTAACTATCTGGCCTTCTTCTGCATTAGCCAGCTAGCAGGAAGAACACTTCAAACATCCTGCTCCAAAGCACTTGTAGGTTTTCAAAAGTTCCTCCCACCCTCAAGATACATCATCTGAAGGGGATTTTCCTTTTGTACAGTCATTTAAACTGGAAAATCTTACTCCTAAGACTATTTTGGTACCACTGTAGGAGGTGAGTAGCCACATTCTCAACAGATGTAGCAGTGGCTACTTAATTTTGGCCAGTGTGCCCCTCTAGTTATGTTAGTTTATGTTAATGCCCTCATGTATGTATAAAATGCACATGAATCTCAGTGATGAAGTATTTATATGGGCTTCAGTGATTTAGCAGGCTACTCACATTTCTTTCTTTCATAAACCGAAAGGCTAACAATCCATACAAAGCAGTGACAAGCCCCACTATGCTATGTACCATGTACCATGACAACATGTTTGATCAGCCGATCCTGAAAGCTTAGATAGGTTACTTTACAGTGTAGCTTACACTAGTGGGTGGTCCTAATATGCAGCTTCATCAAAGATTAGTTTTGTAATGCGATTCTGTAACAGAGAACACTTACGATTCTTTATACAGCTCAAAGGACTAAGAACTTTAAGACTATGTCAAGGCTGCAGGTAGGATGTGAAGGAATAGCACTATAGTATAGCAAGTAAAAGCAGTATGGGTAGTACAGGCTGAACTATCCTCTTTTTGTGTCCGCTTGCTTTGCTCAATCTGCACGATCTGAATTTTTTCAAGCTTGACGGAGATCGAGCTTGGTGGCGCCGCCGTTCCCGTTCATAGTGCTGAATGGTGTAAATATTACACACCACAAGTGCCAAGAAACTTAGAGCTAGCTGTATTTTAATTACAACTCAGGAAGCCATAAAGCCACCACTGCAACAGTTTTATAAACTTACACATTTATAAATGTTCTGCCTTTAGCCAAATACGCTTGCCATGACTTTTGATACAACAGAAAATAACTTTTCCATTTAGAAATATTTACGACTGTGTGCTAAATAGTGCATTTTCCACTCATGAAAGAGCAGCAATCTACAACGTAAATGTACACTGGATGCCTTTAAGAACATAATTCTCATATGAGTAAACGTTGGCCGCAGTACATTTAAATAGCACAAACATACCAACAAGGTCAAACCTCATCAGACTGTATTACGTTTACCTGTTATTCAAACAACTTCTAAGGGAAGTGGTATTAAGTGCTCAAATGTGGATTTGATTTTAAACAGGGAGGGCGGGCAGGGGGTCAGAGGAAAATAAACATTTTTCCAACCCAATTTTTCATCAGAGGAAGCACTTTGGAGAGGGCAAAAAATGCATAAAAGGGGATTGGGAGAGCATGTCAGCATAATATTGCTGGTAATCTACAACACTGTTTTGTCCTGATTTTTTTCACCTCTTTTTTTCTAAACACAGGAAGCGGTATATTAGACAGTGCTTTTTCTTGGACTCATCTACCGCGGTTTCTTTGAAAATTTGAGAACAGGACAAGCTGTAACCTAGTCTTTTATATCGGCTCCGTTAACACTGGCTTATAATACTAAACGTGGCAGCACAGTATTGTTTACAGCATCAACATTTTGGAGGGAAATGTGTCTACACTCGCCCGACGTACTTCATCCGATCTCATAATCACCAAGCCCCATTGGGGCGGCTGAGAGGTCACATAAAACCCCTGTTTTGTGGCTCCTCTTGACAAATTGTGGCGTCATGTGTACTTGTCTCTGGTTGGTCAGAACACAACACCATTTTAGTTTACATTCCATTTGTCATTTATTTATTTGCCCTCATGTTGCGGGGGTATTGTTTTATTAAAGCCATGTAACGCTGTCACCGGTTGACCCATGTGACATGCAGTGTTAGCAGCAGTGATAATAAACACTTGCCCCTGTGTAAGAGGTCAAAACCCCAAGCATGTCGTTTTTGCCCTGAATTCATGACAAATAGAGCTCTTTCGGAAGAGAGCTATATATATTACAGGTCAGGGCCACTCCATTAAATCAAATTAACAATGTTAACAGATGTCAGTGTGCCAAAGCTTGCAAGAAACAAAAAGAACGTACTCCAACTTAAAGACACATTTTGGCCCTGTCTGTTTGAAATAATACAGTCAAGCGATGTCAAAATAAAGCGTCATGGCTATGGTAAAAATCACTAAATGCACAGCTTTCAGTGGCATTTTGCTTTTATGGGACAGCAGCAAAATAAAATATGGTGAAATGCACCAATGTTCAATAAAAAAATTTTTTTTATAATTAACAGTAAAAATCCACTGAGCAATGTAGTTTGTTAACAGTTTCCTACAGTTGCCAAGCAACACTTTTTTTAATAACTTGGCACATCATTACAGAATTCAACTGATGTATGCAGTAACAGGCACTAAGATAGTGTTCAAAAAACCTGGAAGCAGCATGGCACAGCCATATTGTTGACATTCTGTCAGCATAATGTGTATTCAGTCAATGCCAGGATTCCAAAAGATATCAAGAAAAAGTCAGCTTGATCCAACAAGCTGATCCATGCCAAAGCCGATTATGCTTTATTGCCTGTGATTACATATTCAGACGTCTATAATTACCTTGTAAATACTGCATCAGCCTACACACTGCAAGAGCTAAAAGCATCCAAATCACTAGAGTCATTTGATTATTGTGGAAGGCTTAGCGATATTCTGTCTTTTGTACAGTTGACTAGACCATCAAATGGCGTGGTGACCGCAAGAATGAGTAATAGCTACAGATCTGTGTGACCTTAACTGACTTATTGCTATCATAAAACAACGCCAACATAAAATATGATAAAATATTCAAAAGTTCAATGAACATTTGACGTTTAATAATAATTGCAATAAACACATTTTTCACCAAGAAATTTAGTTCTTTTAGAGTGTGCTATCACAACTACAGACTGCTAACAACAACTTAGTCAGCCAGCACTGTACATTTGTATATTGTATATAACATTTTAATAGTTTTGTCATGAAGAAAATATCATAATATAGCAGTGTTTAAGGCAGAAACCTTTACCATATTTGTTTTTAAATTATTAGTTTCTGGTCCCACAATGGATTTAATACTACTTAGGACAGAGCTAACTAAGCTAATTTGAATGATAAATATAAACCAAACAGAAGTGACATAAAGGTGAAAAGACTGAACGTTTGTTAGACGTCCCCATCTCACAAAATATATGGCCATCATAATAAACTAAAAATTTTATTCCCAATGCTAGCTGTTGATATTTTTCAATGTATGTATAAATTTGAAGGGGAATTCCACCAATTTTTGAAAATATCTGTGTACTTCAATCACTGAAATGTAAACAACGTCATTCAGAGTGGTTTGATATGAAATGGTTATTTGAAGACAAATGTACTCTTTAAAATGGGAGTTGCAATGTCATTTTATTTATTGTCTAAAATGACCAGTGAACCCACACGTGTCTTCTAAGTTTTTGTAAGTATTGTAGTGTTAATGTTCATTAAGTAGTGGTGGAAGAAAATGTAAAAAATACATTTTAGGCCAAAATCTTATCTCAAAACTATTGCAAAACAGACATTAACCTGCACAATCATAACCATTTCATGTAATAATGTTAAGCTATGAAGATGTCTGGTTTCTATCACCACCACTGTGAACAATTCTGACTCAAGCATCTCTAGAATGGAGCATTTCACATCAAACCACTCTGGATCACTTTGTTTACATCTTGATAATTTAATTACACAGAAATTTTGAAAAGCTGGTGGAATTCCCCTTTAACCAGCCAATGGTGTTAAGGGGGAAAGGCAGATTTGGGGATGGCAGGTTTGCTTGTTAAGCATGTATGTATAGGGGTTGATAGGTGTTGTAACTCTCCCCAGCTTGACACAGTGCAGATTTTGTTCATGTTCTAATGGAATTGATGCCATTTTTTCAGGGGGAATCCCATTACGTAGTGAACGGAGAGCTGTAATAGTGTACTCACATTCATTTTCCCACTGCGGTTGGCCTCCTCACGCTCAGCCAGCGCTCTCAGGAAGTTATCTTTGAGTTCCTTTCCTGCACTTGCCAGGGTCCTGGAAAAGTCAACAATGAAAAGGTTTGAAATGTTCCTTAAAAAAGTATTTAAAGCCTAAAATGTTCTCTGTTTGAGTTTTTTCCCCAAATAAAGCTCACACTGATGCTCACTGTTTTTGATATTAATTTATTATAGCAGTAATGACTCCCACTCACCAGTCAAGCTCCATATATCATTTCTGCACTACTTCCACATTTCATTTGCATATTAAGGAATAGTTGTAATGAGTGAATAAAAAGTAAATTTAATAAAGAAAAAACTGACACTGTTTCAAGGTTTCACTCATTTATTCACAAACAAAAATAAAAAACCTGTGCCATTCATGCGGTTAACTGTAAAACAAATGCAGTAATGCATCATATCAAGGAAGGAAAAAGACAGTTGGGCTAAAAGCAACCGGTCGCTCAAACTTTAAAACAGACCAAACAAACTCATAAGCTATTTGACACTGGAAATAGATGCAGCCAAACTGCTAAAGAACTGATTTATGAATCGAAAAATGTGAACAGTCCCAGCGAGTGATTTCAGTTAAACACTACAATGCTGGTAATTAATCACAGTGGGGAATGCTTTTGGATGAATTTTCTCTCCCCCATTATTCAGGCCTGTTTTGTGTTGAACGTTGCTTTTTCGACGTGATCTGGCCTCCTTCCATGGAAGCAAAGTTTTGGCCTTCTCCAGGAGCCACGGCACCTGACAAAACACTGGCACTCATCTCGCTCCTTTCACAGTGCAGTACCAGCAATAGCGCCTTGTCATTCACCCCAGGGTTCGCTTTGCTCAACTTTCATAATGTCTGCAGTATACCTGCAGAATCATCTGCTTGCCAGTAAACAGGTATTTGAGAACTTGCTCGAGTTTACGCACTCCTCTGTGAGGTCCAAAGAAAAGGTGAAAAGGGTAGCTGGGTACAGAATGACCAATCCTTACCTACTTACACTCAACATTACATTCTTCCATGCAGCTAAATTATTCATTTTGATGACAATCACCTTCCCAAAGTCAAGAGACAATACGATATGTTCCATATGTAGACCAGACGTAAGGGTGAACAAAACTGTAAAAAAGTCACATTGCAATATGTCATATTACATTATATGTTGTTGGGAGTGGGCTTTACTAGGGGACTTACAGTTCATTATTTGATTCGATATAGTGCGGTAGATTTTTTCAATAAAGAAAAAAATAAAACATGGCCGAAAATGTGTCTCATGTTAGTATTTCAGTTTAGTAGAGAATTCAACATTTTAAAAGTGCAATATTTTAAATAAACCTGTGCTTTATAGTGCCCCGATCTAACTCTCAAGTCGTAAGCTAACACACTAGCCACAGGCTAACATGTTCGTTATGATACAAAGATATAACACAATGCAATATGATATGCTGCAATGAAATTTAATACAATACGATTTGTGGTATGTGTGTGTGTGTGTATATATATATATATATATATATATATATATATATATATATATATATAAAAGCATTTTGGAATGAAAATCTTCATTTTGTTTTTGCAATAAATATTGCAACACAATCAAAAATTTACCCGGTTTCCCACATATTCCCAACGGAAAGGCCAAGTTTGGAGGGAGAGTTCAGGGAGCAGGTGTTAATTGCCAGGTTTAGTGAGTATGTTCGAGTAGGGAAGTCAGCAACCTGGGCCTCCAGGACGTGAACCCTTGGTGAACCCTTGATGTCTCCTATTACCATAATCAGAGGGAAACAAAAATGTTTTAATATTAAACACAATACGTGACTGATTACCTCACTTTTGACTGGCTAAAGTTATTTACTATAACTGAGATTATGGATATTACTGCAGGTAAATGTTAATTAACCAGTGTCCTACCTTTTACAGGGGAAGTGGTTGAAGACAGTGATGCTCTTGTCACTTTTTCATGGCATTCAACTTTGTTTTCTTTACCATGGTCAACTACAGCTACTCATTAGCTAGGTTAGTAGCCTACAGTAACTAGCAGAGCTCAGCTTCTCACCATCAGGGCAAATAGTGCAGCAAGCTAAAGCTGTGTTAGCATGTTAGCTTCGGAAAAAAGGCTCTGTTTTAATGCCTTTTTGAGGGACAGATATTGGCATGTAAATGAGAGTTTGGTAAGTTTCTTTGATTTACTTAAAGTGGAAAAAAGTAACGAAGATGCAAGGACTCATGATGACCTTACATTTTTCAGTAGTTTTTATTGACATTTGAGTACTTCTTTTTTTTCAGTCACAAATCTGGCTTCCAGGTATAGGATAACAGTCACAGTCACAAATCTGGCTTCCAGGTATAGGATAAGGATATGCCGCCCCAGCACCGCCCCCCCCCCACCCCCGCCGGTAAAAGACTGGTCTTCTGAACGCCTTTATTTAACCAAACACCCATAGAAACATCTGTGATTGGTATGATGCTCGCAACACATAATAAAACATTGTGGTTAGTGGATTATTTGCAGATTGCACACACTTCTGCCATATCAGTGCAGTAAAGGCCAACATCACAACAACAATTAAGGAACGATATATTGTGTAGCCCTAATCAGAATATTTTGAAAGCAGTACATTTTGTAAAATTCAGCTCTGTTCTTGTAACATTTATCTCTTTTCTTTGTGTATAGTCAGTTGACCACTCACTACTGCTCATTATGCAAATAGCTCAAAAGTCATGCACCTGCACTGGCCAGAAGGTTTAATATTCCTAATGAGCCCCCAAACCCCTCCTCGCTGTGGGGTTAACAGACATCCACTGTTTCTCAACTCAGGTTACAGAGGGACAGGTAGGGGGGCTTTTACAAACAGGGCCTGCCGCTTAGAAAGGATTTAGCGGACCATGATGCGCTTGGGGCCCTCTTCTGTTTATTCTGGATGATGAAAAGAAAGTAGGGGAAAAGCTCTAAGTAAATGGAACACACACATGCCATTTATTTTGCTCAAACTACTTGGCTGCCTGCAGTTCATAAATGTGCAGTCAGATGCCAAGTACTGTAACATTAGCAAGAAGTGACTGTGCAGCATTACTCCACGAAGAATACAGGCCTGCGAGACTGACTAAACCAGAATGATGCAGAGCATGTGAAACCTTGCAATGATCTTAATGTTTTCCTGTGCTATTAAATGTAATTACACAATTAAAGGATTAATTATGTTGTCAGTTACGTAAGAACTTAAATTTACTTTTGATTTACATTCTATATCGACATATCCTTCTGACCAATTTCCATTTGTTTCAGTGTCAACCAATGAAATGTGGCAAAATTAGGTCTGTCAAAGTTTTCACATTAGTAATGTGTTAATGTGATAATGATATATATATACAAAAAACAAAATGTTGTTAAAGCATTATCCCTGTTTGACCCTAGTTCAGGCTGAAGCCCAGCTGCTCTTCTGATATGTTGCTAAGATTTGGGCTGTGTCTGAAATGTAATAAACACTGCCTACTCAGACAGTACTCTGAGGCAGAAAGGCACCCAGTCATGTCCGAATGAAATGTCTGCATAAAATGCTGCTTTCTGAAATTCCTGTTTGGCTGTTTTTTTTAAGGCAGTGTAGATGAGTCCCTGGCTGCCTTAAATTTCCCATAATCCTGTGTGTCAGCTCCAATATAAATAAAAAAAACAGAAAACACAAGTGCTGACAGAGTGGAGGAGAGTGACTCGTTTGTGTACAATATTTTTTATTTTGGTTATAAAAAAACTCAGCATGCTAGCTTTCTTAAAATAACTTTTTTCAGGGTCTAACACTAACACCTAGCAGTGAGCTGTCATGTCTTAGCAATGACGTGACATATCGCTGCTCTGGTAGTGTGTCTCAAACGTGGTTTGGCTGCAGATACCTTCATCACAATGCTGCTTTAGGCAGCAGAACATCGAGACAGCAGCCTTCAGTTTCGGACACAGCCATAATGCACAATTGTAGCCCTCTCATTCAATTACAGCTTTTAAATAAATTTCTTTGGCACTTTAGGAAGACTACACTGGACAGGGCTTGCAGAAGAACTATAGATAAATCAACGATCACCTAAGAAAAGTAACAGCAAAGTGGAGAGCTACAGCTCCCCTCAAGAGCCTCCAAGAGTTCACAAGCTGTATAAACAAGAACCACTGAAATATTGATATATACACTCGTTCAAAGTTATTTCACTCTATGGAAATCACATGAATTTCATGTTCAGCCCTGAGTTCACATGATAAAAATAATGTTTTTGTCCACTCATATAGCTACAACAAAATGCACTGCCTTAACTATTAAATCACTTGACAGGCCTAGGCTACAATGTGAAGTGCAAAACATCCACACACAAAAAGAACTTCTAACGAAATATCTCCTCTTTTACCATTGATCGAAAACTCAAAATCTTTCAACAGAATTTCTCTGTTTGTTTCAGTGAGATGTAAGTAAGAAATAATATCAAACTACACTATGCTTTTGCTTTTGCTGGTGATAACTGTGACTTCTAAGGGTTAAAGAGCAGCTAAGAATGGGCTTTGGTGTAGAACAACCAATGGTAATTGTACCATTTCAAATTTGAATAATTATGATAACCGTGTACAATGAATCATTTTTTTTTTAAATAATGGGACATATAATAGTCTACTGCTACCCAAGGGGGCAATGCACATTTACATAATCGTAATTGTTAAAAAAGTAAAACTGAGAGGTCTATATATATATATATATATATATATATATATATATATAAAAAAAAAGTATTATACATACAATTACATAACGTCAACATAATGTCAATATAATACCCGTGAAGAAATGATCTCAATGTGTATTAGCTTTTAAAAAAAAGGTTCAGGATATTTTAACATTATTGTGATAATATGCAAAAAAAAATTTGTGAAAACATGACAGTAAATTTTTATGTCCTATCTCTAAGGGCTACAAACATCAGCAATTACATGACACCATCAACACAATCTGTACCTCTACAGTTCGAAGTCATGGCCTTGATAACCATGCTGCTAAGATGACAGAAGCAAATTACAGAAAGCT